CTCTTGTGAGACACTCTTGCGGGACACTGTTGCGGGACACTCTTGTGAGACACTCCTGTGGGACACTCATTTGGGACACTCTTGTAGGACACTCTTGTGGGACACTCTTGTAGGACACTCTTGTGGGACACTCTTACGGGACACTCTTGTTGCACACTCTTGTAGGACACTCTTCTGGGTCACTCTTATGGGACACTCTTGTCGGACACTCTTGTGGGACACACTTGTGGGACACTCTTGTAGGACACTCTTGTGGGACACTCATACGGAACACTCTTGTGGGACACTCTTGTAGGACACTGTTGTGGGACATGCGGGACACTCTTGTGGGACACTCTGGTGGGACACTTATACGGGACACTCTTGTGGGATACTCTTGTAGGACGCTCTTGTGGGACACTCTTGTAGGACACTCTTGTGGGACACTCCTGTAGGGCACACTCTTCGTACGAAAAGTCACGCTGCGAGGCCGCAAGACGAGCGTTTCGTACGAGACTTCCTCCAAACGTCACGCGTCAAGTCTCAAAAACGAGCGTTTCGTACGAGACTTCCTCCAAAAGTCACACGTCAAGTCTCCAAAACGAGCGTTTCGTACGAGACTTCCTCCAAAAGTCACGCTGCGAGGCTGCAAGACGAGCGTTTCGTACGAGACTTCCGCCAAAAGTCACGCGTCAAGTCTCAAAAACGAGCGTTTCGCACGAGACTTCCTCCAAAAGTCCAGCGGAAACACCCATCGGAGCACACACATCACGCAGCCCTGCCAAGCAATTTCGCGATTCCAGCCCCTCCAAACGACACCCGCTCACACGCCAATCCCAATGTGACAGCGACATTCACCTCTACCACAACTCACAACCTCCCGATTCCCTGCGCCCGCCACGAATCTTTCCGCGTCCACACGTCTAACGCGCACAAAGTACTGCGCCTGCCACGAAATGTCACCTCCGTCACACCTCGCAACCTCACGATTCCCTGCGCCTGCCACAAGACTCGCACTTCCACACCTCCAAAGCCACACCAAGTACTGCGCCTGCCACGAAAAGTGACAATATCATCTCATGTGAGCTTCAACAAAATTTGCACCACACCACACGTTTGCAATGATTTCGACCCGTTCTGAGCACACTCCCATCCACCAAAATCGGCATTTCAGCTGAGACTTATCACGAAAACAGCGCTTCGATGCCACACCCTGCAACGCAAATCCCAATGGCACGGCCACATCCAACACCCCAAAAACACGACTCTCCAAACGCTAATCCCAATGGAACTACGCAGCACTCTGCAGATCTCACCAAACGCTGCGCCTGCGCAGCGAAACGCATCACGTTTCTTGCGCCACATCTCATTTTCATGCAAATCGCAATGGAATAGCGGCGCAAACTGACACGTGACACATCCATGAAAGGTCACTTGCAAAACCTTCCCCCAATGGCAGCGCCTTAGCGTCCTACTGCGGACGGTTGCGAACGGTTGCGGACGGTTGCGAACGGTTGCGGACGGTTGCGAACATAGAAGCAACGGGTCGCGAACAAGGCTCTACCCCCAGACCCCCAAGAGTTAAACGAGAACCCTTCGCTACGCATTCGGGAAAAAGCGGGCCATGTGCAAAGTTCCTAGATGTTGCCGAGTTTGACACTTTTTTGTGAGCATAGCAGGGCATGTGGGATTGTGCAGTTGGTGATGTTTTGGGCATTTATTTGTCTATCGTTGCGGCGTTTATTCTAGGAATGCGCGCGTGTTTTTGGCTGCATTTGGTTTTGGCCCATGTGGCCCAGCAAGCTTTGTAGCCTCGCCCAGTTGTGAACTCGAATGCCAACTGAGGCTGCTGAAAGTGGAACAACTACATCATTGGTTTGGCCACACGTGAGAGAGAAAAGTGCAAAATGGCGAGACCAACATGCAAAGATCCAAGAAGGAATGACCAAAAGACATCAAAAGACAAGGCTCAAATCTCGGACAAGTTCCAAGTCTCCAATTCGATTTGCACAAGATGGCGAAAAATTTCTTGTTTGTCGATTCTTTGGGACCACAAGGGGGCTTGGAGATTCATGGTCCACACAGCGCGCTGATGAGGAGTCTCGTCAACCACTTGTGGAAGACCGTGCCAGTGTTTGCAGTCAAGACCGCTGGCGGAAACAGGGTCAAATTTCAGAATGTTGGAGCAGGTGTGGATGCCAGCGCCCTTCAATCCACGATGGATTTCTTGACTGCACAGATTCCCATACTGTGGATAGATGTCCGCCGAAGGTCATGGGCTGCAGGAGGAAGGAAAAAAGAAAAAGAAAGGAATTTTGTACAGCGCACCTACCAGACGAAGACAGTATCCATCACACTCGAGGAAATACAAGTTACTTGCAGAGGCCTGGCTGGATTATGATGTTGCCATGATGCTGGCTGACCGTTACAATAGGTACTGCCAGGCACTGTTCATACTACAGAACATGTTAGGGTGGGCTACGGTTGGCTTGAGCACCTACCTGTCGAATGTTGGAGGTACTGACCAACAATTTCTTGAGATTGATCGGATCTATATTGAGCGGTCTCTTTTTGGAATTGCCTTAGCATCCTCAGCTCTCATTGCCATTGAAGTTCTTACAAAAGCGAGGCTCCGCTGGCGTCAGTTGCGAGCACATGGCTGCATTATGAAGAAAGTAATATGGTGCTATCGCGCACGAGTCCCTCCCTTCCACATCAAGCACGGTGCAGGTAGTGACACAGCCCCAGAAGAGGCACTGGTGAACGCGCTGAATGAGCGGCGCTGATGAGCGCTCATCTTGCAGATGCCACCTTCGAACAGAAATACAGCAGAAAGATCTTCAAGCACACGAAGAGGATCTTCAGCAAAAGCGGATCCAGCAAATCGGGACGGAGAGGTGAATCAATGCTGAAGGAGAAAGAGGCGAGATTGCTGGTATGCCCCAACCGAGCCCAAGGTATACATCAAACAACGCCTTGAGAAGCAGCATCAATTCTACACTTCACGCATGCCATCATTTTACCGCTGGAGCACATGTTGGCAGGCCCGGTTTGGTTCCTGGGTTTTGTCGGTGTTGCCTAGGTTGTTTCAATATCCTTCGGCGTTTGCTATGTTTGCTTTCACGTTTGCTTTCAATGTCATTTTGAACTGATGATGAATATTTCCCTCTGAACTGAAGACACTGGAAGAACCCTTTTGCTGTGACTCGGTCGGTTGGTAGAAGACGCGGGAATGCTGCACGCTGAAGGCCATCACAATCGCTTTGGGCATTGTGGGCAGTGTGTTGGCATATCTAGGCTTTCAAGGATGGCTTGTGATAGCTGCAGCTCTCAACGCTTCATGCATGTCTTGGATGGAATTCAGAGATCATACCAGAAAGGCCGCTCGCTACTCGCATGTTGCCACAAGCCTACGGAACCTTATGACTTGGTGGAACAACTTGACCAGTGTTGAGCAAGCATCCGTGGAGAACATCCAGAAGCTAGTAAATGGTGGTGAAGATGTCATGATGACCGAGATGTCTTCTTGGATCTCAACGTCCCACGAGGAAACACAAAAATGAGTCGCAAGAGATGAAGAAACGGAACGGTGTGCAACCCAAAGAGACAGAGTGACAACGTTCATTCATGGCTTGCCATCGCTCACCTCCTTTATGTACATCGTAGAAATTCATGTGCAGCATTCAGCACTCAGGTACAGTTACGTGGCAGCATTTAGGCGGCATGCGTTGAAATTTGTCTCAGTTTCAGAGAAACACGAGGCTCTCGAGTCGGAATGCAGCCGTCCTATGCTCACCCGCAGCGTAAAGCCGGGCGGACGTCAAAGACGATGAGCAAAACGTGCACAGCGGAAGTAACATGAAGTAACCTAAATTTGACCGTTCTTGTGTGTTGTTTTTCTTGTTTCCATTAGCGATGGCCTAACGACGGCCTCCAACTAGCCTTCAAACTGAATGTCCTCCAAGCTGGTTGACTGATTGCTACTGTTTGTCCTTTGCGTTTTTGATGCAGTCCCACGTGGCCACACTCGGGATCGCTTGAGCAGCTTTGGCAACCCACAAGTGAATATTGCGCTGACTAAGTACAGGTCCACCGCAAGCCAGACGACTTTGTGACAGTGTGCACTTGGTTGTTTAATTTGTGTGTGTGTGTCACACCCTGTTCCCGAGGGACCTTGCACTTTCCCCACTTCGTACCTGCCGTTTTTTCGACTACCGGTTGCGAACCGTGGCCTAAAAACAGCTCTCCTGAAACATGGCACCAAAACGCTGATCTTTTCTCGCTACGACCAAGGGCCTTGAACTTAATGGTAAGACATTCGGTGAACAAACTTTCAAGTGCACAAGTCAGACAGGCTAACGCTGCAACTTTTCACACTGACCCAAAATAGTCTTTGGCTTGTGCACTTTTGCTGACAATCCGTGAAAGGTGGCCTTTCCTTCGCCAAACACCTTTTGTGTGACAGTGGCCAACCCGGATTTTGTCAGACCATCCGCACACTGATGTCGCGTGGGGACCCACAGCAAACTGCCACGCTCGCCTTTTGGATCTTTTTCTTCAGTGCTTTTAACCATACACAGCTGACGCAAGACAGTGACGTTCAGAGCATTCCCTTTGTCCCCTATACTATGACCGTCCTTCTTAACACAGTCGTACACGGACTTACAATCCGTACAAAGCACCAAAGGAACTAACTTATCCCACGGAAGATCATCATCTTGTAGGACCCAGCTCCGGTAGTAGATCTCACACAACAACGCTCGCTGGAAGTGTGCGCAGCCATGTCCCATGATGGCCGCGTGAGTCTCTGCGGCAAAGCTGGATTCCACCACTCTCCTATTCGTCTTGGTCCTCCAAGAAGTGAAATTCACAGGCACTGCGTGCGACTTTTCCAAATCATCAGTTTTAACCATGCCAACACAGCAACCTTTTTGTGAGTAGATTATATAACTTCTTTTCCTCCAGGGTTTGAACACATTCATCACTTTTGTCTTCAATTTCCAAACCGACACCGTTGTACAAACCTGCATCGTGCCAACCAACGACAGTGACGCGCTTACCCAGGTTTCTAAAAACGACGCTCAAGTCATTCTTTTTCACAACACGAACCACTTAGTTAGCTAACAACAAATCTTTTACCTGCAGACTACCTATACGCTTTTGCAGTTGGTTGACGCAGAATGCAACATCGGGTCTGGACTGTGTGACAAGCCACTGCAAGGCACCAAGGACTGACCTAAAATCAGTTTTCTCAGGAAGCTACTAGGAACAAGTGCCACGCTAGTAGTAACAGGTGCCTTACTAGTAGTAACAAAAAGCTATTAGGAACAAGTGCCTTACTACTAGTAACAATTGTAATTACAACAAAGGAATCTACTAGGACCTTTTCCTACTGCTGTCGACAGGGATCAGTTCAAGCCTACCTTCCGTGAACCCTCGCTTACTCAAATGAATGACCTGTTCACCTTCTTCCTCAGAGACAGTGATTTCTTTGCCGCAATACGTAACGCCATGCGGTTGTTTAGCTACATAGTCCCATTCCCCCAAAGGAAAACGCTCGCAAAACTTGTTGACACCCTCTTCGACTTCATCACTACCGTTGGTAGCCACAAGCACATCATCGACGTGAATGACAATCATGGCAACTGGCTCCTTCGTTTCGAGATCTCTACGAATAAAGAGTGCGGGATCAATAACACTGCGCTCATATTTCATCTCATCCATGATAAACTCAGAAAGAGCTATGTACCAAGCACGGGGAGCATCGGGCCTACCATACACGGGTCGATTCAATTTAAGAATTTGGCCACTGTCGAGATCAGTACCGGGGAGTCCTCTTTCTGGGGGTTTCATGTACAGTGGCTCTCCACTACTTTCTTTGCCTTGTAAAAAGGCCGAAGAAATGTCACCATTACGTAAGTGTTCAACCCAACCAAAAGAGGCAACACAGTGAAGAAAAGTCAACAAGGAATTATGCTGAACCGTCGGGGCGTCAATCTTCACATCTCCTGAGATACAGTCAGGATCGAATTGGCCTTGAACGCAAAGCCGGGCTTTGGCGCTACTAGTAACAAGTGCCTTACTAGTAGTAACAAGAAGCTATTAGGAACAAGTGCATCGCTTCTAGTAACAAGTGCCTTACTAGTAGTAACAAGGAGCTACTAGGAACAAGTGCATCGCTTCTAGTAACAAGTGCCTTACTAGTAGTAACAAGAAGCTACTAGGAACAAGTGCATCGCTTCTAGTAACAAGTGCCTTACTAGTAGTAACAAGAAGCTACTAGGAACAAGTGCATCGCTTCTAGTAACAAGTGCCTTACTAGTAGCAACAAGAAGCTACTAGGAACAAGTGCATCGCCTCTAGTAACAAGTGCCTTACTAGTAGTAACAAGAAGCTACTAGTAACAAGTGCATCGCTACTAGTAACAAGTGCCTTACTAGTAGTAACAAGAAGCTACTAGGAACAAGTGCATCGCTTCTAGTAACAAGTGCCTTACTAGTAGTAACAAGAAGCTACTAGGAACAAGTGTTCTAGTAACAAGTGCCTTACTAGTAGTAACAAGAAGCTACTAGTAACAAGTGCATCGCTACTAAAGAGATTGACCGTTCGAATCTTTGGGCCCAGCATTTTTGTCGCGATAAACGACATCGCAGCACTCTTTCAGGTTTTTCAGCGATACGCGCACTCTCTTCCTGTGACAAAGGGTCAGCTGCCTTATAGTCTTGCCAACTTTTCCATTCTTTGATTTCCGCTTGCAAAAAGTCCTCTCGCTGTGATTCAGGTATTTTGTTCCAAGGAATTTCCTTATCCAAAGCCTTTTGCTGTTTACGGCTACTCGTCACTACCAAAACCGATTGCTCGTGTGCAGTTTTCTGTTTCCTGCGAATACACTCAGGAACGTCTTCAAGCAACATGCGCTTCGAACTTCTGCGGAATTTAGTTACAAGAATGGCCGCCGGGCCGCCCGGGATCAGACTCTGTGGGTCATCTAAATCCTCCCACCTGACATCCTCTTCAAGCTGTTTCCAAGTGCCATCCCAAAATCGCCAAGTGCTCCGAAATTTCAACATGTGAACATCTTGCCTGAGAAAAGGAACCTTGAACGCGTAAACTTGAAAACCAACCACCATAGGATTTCCCATGTCATCTTCATGCCAACCCTGGTTCACAGAAACTTTCAACACATCAGGCGGAGGTTGAACAGTCTGAGGAATCACACCCGGGTTAGGTTCAGAAGGTCCCTCCATGTTTTCGTCGCTATTCCACTCCTCAATGAAAAGATCATCAAGCGCTTCGTCAGGGTTCCCCTTTTGACCAGTGAGATCAACATAAGGCATACCTTCTCCGGGCTTATCTTTGAAGATACGCAAAGCTTCCTGGATTTCGGGTTTCCCATAAAGA